CAGGCAGTTGTTTGTGAATATCTTGGATGGTCTCTTTTTGGCCCATTTTCATCAGGAAGGATATCTTCATTATCATAATCCATCCCAACCTCTGATTCTTCACGCATGTTCATTTCAGCTTTTAGCTCCTCAGACGCCAAAACATCATCACAAAGAATTTGCAATATCATCAACTTCCTACTTGCAGGCAATAAATAATACTCGCCATAAAAAATTTCATCATAAAATCCTTTCCACTCAGGTCCTTTTGTGTATCCATAAATTGCTAAATACTGAAATACAAAAACAGGCCAAGTCAAAGCATCAAGCAAGCTCCAATCACTGCACCTGGAAAAAATACATATTCAGATTAATATCTTTTTTAATATAAATAATCTCACGAAAAGAACGACACTAACGCATATGCTATTAGCACACATTAAGACCATATTAAAAGAATGCTGCAATTATGTGAAGACAACCGAATAATTGTTCTCTATAAAAATTTGTCAACGGATTAAACAACACATTTAGTTGCTTCAATTTTTTTTTACAACACTCAACCTACTCTCTCAAAAACACATATACAACATGGCTCCGGTGTTATTGGACTCTACAAGAAAAGAAGAAAAAAAACTTCAATCAGTGCAATAAGGGAAGTCATGTGCTCCACATGGCCCCCAAAAATTAAAATGACGCGTTTGCAAAATAGATTTTAAATGAAATTTATTTTGAAAATAAAGTGATTCATGTTTGAATATTTTTATTCAAAAAGCAAAATAATACTAAAACCCGGTATAAATTTTATGTCCTAAAAGCTACCTAAAGTTGTTTACTCAAAAATCAATATTTCCCTATAATCACAGTAGCCGGTATTTCAAGGTAATTATGGATATTCAAAGTGAATCCACACGTACTGTGTTTTCCATCAGTCAAATCAAATGGAATATAACATATTAGTACAAATAAAATTATCATACTACAGTCTAGAATAGGTAGCTGATTTTTTAAGGTAATTATGGATAATCATCGTGAACCAACATACTATGTCTTTCATCAGTCAAATCAAATGAAATTTAACATACTAGTACAAATAAAATTACCACACTACGGTCTAGAATACGGAAACCATGATTAAAGACAAATGAGATAAAGCTGCAGTAGTGGTAACATTAAACTAAAACAAATGCAATAAATAAAAATAAAAAAATCGAAATAACAAAAAAAACAAGAGAGGTGAGCACCTGAGGCATTTTGATGCACGCGGCGAGCCATCTGCTGAAATGTTTTCAAGGTGACGTCTCAAAACACGCATCAGCGACACGTGAATTGCATCAAGCAACGTGTTCGAAACTTTACAGTTAAGAGAACCGACAAACTCGTCCAAAGTAAACGGACTCAGAAACAGGCGAATGCTGAATGATCGCAGAAATCCGTAAACTGAAAAGAGATTCAAAACGAACGGTTCCGGCACTCCAATTGTTCCGGAAGACCGCGGCAGCTGCGGCGGCGACGGTATCAACGTTTCCGCATCGGAACTCGAATCCCTAGCCTCGCCGGACGAGTCATCACCGTCCTTTTCGTCTCGTTCCTCTTCGTTCTCAACCAATAAATCACCGCGCAATTCGCTCGAACCTTTCTCCGGTTCCTCTGCGATCTTCGGCAACACTGATTCATCTAATTCAACCTTCCTCCGAGTCAAATCATCGTCGAAATAACTGTCAAGGAGAAGTATCCTACGAATCTCGGTGCTACCTAAATCCTCGCAACCGCCACTCTCGTACACGACTCTGTACAATCCGCGCTCGTAACGCACGACTTTACCGAGAAGAACAGTGTTTCTGCGGAACTCTTTCAAAACGTATCGTCCAACCAATGCTATCGGTAGCGTCTTCTTCGCTTCGAGGAGCGATTTCGGATCGGCGGCGACGGTTTCGTCCTCTTCTCTTCTCCGTTTCCGCGGGCGACCTCTGGATCTTGCGACGGGAGGCTCCATCGAGGAATCGGAGGGAAAATCAAGAGTCTCTGAGGTTTTTCGGAGACTCGCGAAAGGTTTAGGGTTTGTTTGGATCGTGCAGAAGAACGCGGTGTTAGAGAGAGAGTGAGGATTGTGGGGGAGAGGTTAGGGTTGTGAGGATAATAAAAAAGAAGAGAAGAGAGGGAAAATTGCTAGTGATGGTGTTACACCCTCCAGCAAAGAGGTTTGTTTGTTGTGGTTATCACTCGTCACGTCCGAGTCGCCGATTTCAACCGTGCGAGTCAAATGCACGTTTTCAGTTTACAAAATAATTTAGTAAACAAATTATGAATGAATATTTATTTATATGCTAAAATCTTATTTTAGTCCCTTATATTAATTGTTTGTTTCAATTTAGTCCTATTTTTAATTTTTGGTTTTAATTTGGTCTCAAACTAATTAATTGGTTTCAATTTAGTCCCAAATTAATTAATTGGTTTCAATGTGAGACTTTCGTCCAAATTATTTAAACGGAGTTAACTTTTAGCTACGTGGATGCCATGTAGATGCATACGTGGATGTCACGTGAATGACAATTTTTGGCTAAAAACCTATTTTGGTCCCTTATAATAATCGTTTATTTCAATTTAGTCCTAATTTTATTTTTAGTTTCAATTTGGTCCCAAATTAATTAATTGGTTTCTATTTGGCCCCAAATATATTAATTAGTTTCAATTTGGGACTTTCGTCCAAATTATTTAAACGGAGTTAACTTTTGGCCACGTGGATGCAGTTTTGATCCCTCAAGTATTATAATTGTGCAGTTTTAATCCCAAAATTTTAATTGGGTAATTTTAGTCCTTAAAGAATTTTCTGAGAAAATGAGTTTTTAGAGAGAAGTTTTAGAGAGAATGTCTCTAGGTCAGTGAGCTCCTTTCTCTCCCAAATTTCTCTGTTTGACTCCTTTTCTCCTCTAAATCACTAACTCCTTCTGACTTTTCTTGAAATTCAGATTAGAAAGCTTG